AGTTTCACTGTAGAGCATGGATGATGTTACACTGAGAGTTTCAGTTAAGCTGTGATAATATGGAGCTTTCCAGGTACTTAAGCCTCTCCTGTTAAAACTTGTTAAATTCACACAAAACCTTTACATTTATTATTTGTAAAAGAATTATTTCCCAGGAGGCTCCAATTTAACTTCACCTGAGATTTAATTTGAACTTAGGTTAACATATGCCAACGTGGAATTGTTCATTTAAATAAGTGAAAAGCTGTAATTTTCCAGAACAGAAATCTTTAAACTTTTTATGTTGTCATAGTAAAGATTGTTACAAGTTAGAGATCTGAAAGCTTTTTAGTTTAAATCACCTTATAAAACTGATAATAATGTCGAGATCAAGTAACAGTTTATATTAATATTCTATGAATCAGCCTCTGAATGATACACGGGAAAAACATTTTCCTGGACATGAACAGGAAAGCAACATGTTCCTGGTCTTTTATATTTAATTAAACAAAAAAACAAAAAGAAAGAAAGAAGATTAATTATTAATCTAAAAAAGCACAAAATCTTGAAACTGGGCATAAAAACAAAAGAACACAAACAAAAATGTTTTGCCTTAAAGAGCCACTGAATTATTAATTGTCAGTTTTTTTTAATGCTCCATCAAATGTCTTAAAGCTCTGTAAATATACAACATATTAAATACTCAGGTTAAAATAGTAGAAAAGAAACAAACATATTCAAGTACTTATGTGGGAAACGGTCTGAATTTGTAACATTTTGGCAGCTTATTAAGTCTGAATGTAAAACATGTAAGTCTGTGAAATTCAGCAGTTTTATATGTTAAATGTGTTCTGTGAGTTTTAATGCTGCTTCTGGTTAATAATTATCTTTTAATAAACAAAACAAAAAACCTTGTGAAAATCTTTGGTGTCTGCAGAGTCTTACTGTTGATCTCAGGTGTGTCCTCCTTTTGATGCTGCCATTAGAATCTAAAAGCAATGATTTTATTTGCACAGATATTATTTAAACCACCTGTGACCTCAGTTTTTATTGTAATGAGTCTATAATTATAAAAGCAAACAGATGTCTGTGTTAGCTAAA